GGGGTCAGTGAAAAGATAAGGGAAAATGAAACGATCCCAAGAAGGAAAAAAGAGAGAGAAAAGAAAATTGCATTCGACTCAGCACTTGAGTCTACCAATAAATCTGCAAAAAATAAAAGATCAAAAGGGTGACCCGACGAAAGGGCTGATGTATCGGAAACTAGAAGGGACGTGGGCGGGGTGAATCGGAAACCTAGTGTAGGAGTGGTGAAGAATCGGAAACCTGGAGCAGGGGCAATGGTGCTATAGATGATGTTTCGGATAACAGGGAGTGGGATGGCAGCAACCATGGAGTCGATGATCGAGTGGTAAGACTGAAGAAGCGATCCTGATCAGAGCTCTGGTGAATGAGCCGCGGATTGAAATAACCTTGGATGTCAATTCATGGCCCCGATGCTGTTATCATAGCGATAGCTAGTAACAGGAGGTGGGGCCATAAACGAAAGGTCAAGGTTTGACCAGGGGGTCTTTACCACAAAACTGGAGGGTTGGGATCATCGTAGGGTGAGGTCGTGGTGCCATAAATACGGAGGTTTGCATATTCCGTTATTTCCCTCTTGAAGTCATCTGTATCACTGAAGTCGACGGGTGAGACTCGTTGAATGCTAGGTGTGGACTTAGGACGCGAAGAGCCTGTATTCGAACCAGAAGCAACTAAGCTGGTCACGGTAGACACTAGAGAGCCGGGGAGAGAGGCAAGGAATTCAAGGAAATTCTGCGCAGTAGTTCCAGATTCCTCGGGCAACGCCTCGGTGCCACCTGATTCCACAAGGGATGTCAGAGGAAGGTGAGGCATTGGCTGGGTGGAGGGCTGGTTTAATGTGTGCGCAGATATCCCTGATATAAGTCCAGTGTCAAGTGAAAAGTCTTGCCAGAATTGAGTCGGATCTTGACTAATAGCAGGAAGCCATTGCGATTCAGAACCTGGCATATAGGGGTCGAATGGACAGGGCATGACTTGGGGATAGCGTTCTGAGTCGGGAAGGAAATCCTCCTCCGTAAAGATGGGTATGAATGGTTCTCCACATGGTTCTTCATCCTCAAATTGAACGAGGAATTGCGATCCGTCGCCGTAATCATCTGTTGGTGGCTCAGGGGTGATCGGTTTCAATGGAAGGGGCCCGGATGGAACAACGACAGCTTCGACTTCAGCTTCAGATTCTGGTTCCCACTCCGGAAGTATAGGGATGAAGAAGGCGGGATGTACAAAAGGAGGTTCAGAGGGTGGAAGGACTTCAAAGAGGGATGAGAGATCACTTGGGTCAACTTCTGGAGTGCTACCGAGTCCTCGAGCACTTAAGGTAGCCTCTATGCCTGCTTGTAGAGCCGCAAAGGATTCTGAAGAGTTGTACGATGAACCCTCTGTCAATGTTGGTAGTGCGGAAAGATAATCATCAATGAAGGTGCTGGCGACTTCGGCGGGTGGGTCAATTGTGGGTTCTTCGGCGTAGAAACTTGCATTCCAGGCTTGAAGATCAACGGGCATCATTGTGGCTTCAAGATCCACACATTGATCAGCACCGTACTCGATTTTCCAGGCTTGATGGTCCAAAGCATTGTAACCAACTGGAGCGAGATAATTGACCGATATGCCAAAGGCTTGCAAAGTTTCATTGAGAGCGACTTCGGCTATATCAGGATCATAAGGGATCTGAAAGCACTCTGGTAATTCTAGTGGTTGTGCAGGTTCAAGGACTTCGTGAGGTTCATTGAAGGAAAGTGAAACTCCTTCCATGCATGAGGCCACAAGCAACTCATCGTAATCAGAATCATAGTGAGAAGATCCTGAGCACGAGGGGCTACTCTCAGAGTAATCGTCATCATCTGGTTTGAACGCCGCGTCTTGTTGAGCATCCGAACTTGACATTTCATTATCTGGTGACTCCCAGCTCGTTTGAGAAGAGGGGAAGTCATCGTGTTGAACGTCATAGGGAGTGTGACTGGCCGTAGTAGTTGGCAAGTTTCCGAGGGAGGATGGCGATAAGGAAGGAACTTCTCGGATAGCAGGTGGGAGGCTCTTCTTAGGCCGAACTCGCACAAGACGCCCACTGACAACCATGATTCGGTCCGTTTGCCGTTGCTTCACTTCTGAAGATTTGGGAGCCACTGGTGGTGGTTCCATCTTGGACGGAGTACGGAAATGGACGCGAACAAGTGGCACCTTTCCAACACCATTGCGTAGCACTCTTTGAGAATCCTCTTTGCTGAGGAGGCGTGGTTGTTTAGGGACGAGTTTGAATTTACCAGCTTTCTTGGGGAAGATATTATATGCAGTCGCACGCTTGGGTTGAGAGGGTCTGGACGACAATTTCGGTTTTCTTCTACGTCGCGGCGCAATTGCGCGGGTACTTGGCAATGGCAACAGATGATCAAGGGGATTGATATCGAGCATTGGTGGCCCCGACGTTGAATCATCAGACTCCAGCTCTGGGTCTAACCCTTCGAAGGAAGAATCATCAGCTTCAAATGTTTCGAGGGAAGTGTCATCGCTTTGCGAAGGTGCATCATCATTTCCATGATCGGCTTCATCGTCTGGCTGGGGAGTGTCACCTCCATCCGGAGTTTCCAAGTCAATCGAGTTGACATGCTTGCATAGTTCAGCAACCTCGGGAGGGGGTTCACAAGGAACGACGTGCAAGTTATTAAAGGATCGATAGAGAATTATCATTTCTCCGTTATTCACCGGCGACATAAGTCCGTCTCCATCGTAGGCTTGCCTTGGCCATTCGGTGACGGGGAACTTGCATCGTTCATACCAACGATGAACTGCTGGTTGTGGAAAACTGTAAGGAGTCTTTTTGCAAGAGGTAAGGGGGTTGGTAATTTCGCCCTAGATGGATATCGGTAAGTTAGGAAGCGGGCTACTAATTGCAGGACATACAGATATGAATTGATCTCGTATTTCTTCTTCGAGTATATCCCGCTCACATGGCAGTCTCCCATCGGGATGGTACCGAGGTACGAGAATATCATTTTTATAGATCCATTCGATATCATCCTCAGGGGGTTGTTCTGGTGAATCGGTAATGGATTCAGGCTGTGCTTCTGTCGGCAACTGCCCTGCAGCGATCATTGCATTCCGCTTCTTCTGACGAGCTCGCCGATTTTGGAACTGGAGAGCTTAGTCAGCATATCATTCATCTCTGTAAGTGGAGGACTTACCCAGACAGTGATTTGGCGGTAAGTTAAAGTAGTATTACGGGCCAGCGTTCTCTTTTGCCTTTGTGAAGGATAACGGCCTGCCGTGTTTTCGAAAATCCATTGTAATACTGGTACCCAACGCTACAAGCTAGTTAGCAAATATTGAAAAGGATATGTTATATGCATACGGTGTCAAATTTAGTGTTCTTCTTGAGTAAGTCTGGATCGATATGTGAGAGAATGGCGTCGACTGCCGAGTCGTATAGACGCTCGTAGCCATCAGAAAGCTGATCTGCATGAATTTTGGCGAGCCGATGAAATCTTTCTACTCTTTCCTTCGGAGTCAGGCGTTCAGAGCGATTAAGGTCGGTCCAAATTGCCTTCAACTGCAATGATACGATAGACTTGACGGCCTTAGCTCGGCCACGATAAGCATCCCAAAGGACTTTGTTGATGCTTGTGGGTAGATTAAGCCGCTTTAGCTGACTTCTGATATCTTTGATCCTGGGTAGGGTCACTTTGGGCTGGGCTGGGCGGCGTGAACGTGTTGGCTGGAGTACAGGAGTGTCTACGAGAGGTTTTAGACGCTCTCTACTCATATGACATATTGAGAGAATGCTTTTGAGAGCTGATGGTGGATCCATCCTGTTGCTGGGGTGGTCCAACCTGAACAAAGGAATGGCGGGACTCCAGACACCCCCCCCTTGTCCCCTGGCCGCTGGCCATGTCCAGCGATGAGGCATGGCGGCAGATTCAGGCTCTTGAAAAGGAGCTGAAGCTGCTCAAAACTGGTGGTCCCGACTTTACTCTCGACCATTTCCTTGTGCGTTGCGAGGACCGCCTTAAAACCCTTCAAGCCATTGCTGGCAATGATGACCTTCCTGAAACCACCGCTCTTTACATCTATGATTTGTTTGGAACTATTGGTGATCTCGCAGCGGGGCTGCTGAACATCGAAAATGCGACCCAAGATCTTCAAATTTCGACTGAGCAAGCAGTCAGGGATACAGCTTCGCAAATGAAATGGACGGACTCAGAAGACGATTTTCCAGGTAAGTTTGAACGGTTACGAAGCGGCTGGCTTGCGTTGCATGGGGAACGGAAAGTGACGCTCTCTTAGAACGCACACCAGAAGAGTTTGCTGCTCAGCTCCGGGCAGACTGGAAAGGGCTCTGTGATTGGTTTCTCGCTAATATAGGAAATCCCATTGTCAATCCTTCGAAACCATGGCCCATGCCCTCCAACTCTTATGACCTAGACGAGTGTGAACATTGGGTCGCTGAAGTCCGCCGACGGTCAACTTGGGAGAAAATTTACCTCAAGCATGCCCATTCAAGCATGGAGCGAATGCAAACCCTGTGCAGTCAAATACTCCAACGGGATGGGTCCTTACTCTCCGACACACTAGATGTATCCGCTGACGTGCGTCAAGACTTTGTCGCAATGAGAGAAAGCATCATCCAAACCTGTAACGATCTTGCTGAGGAACGAAGCAAGCCTTCTCCGTGGTTCGAAATGGCCATACAACTTCTTGAGAGCTTGCCCCCGTTAGAAGATCTGGAGGATCAAGAATGGGACCACGACGACGAGTTCGACGACTTTCTGGACGATTCAGAGTTGGATAACAATTCAGTATCTTCCATTGAGTACAGCATTAAACCTGCCACCGACCATCACCTGGTTCATATAGTGTACGTAGTTTTGTTTCAAGTGATGCTGATATCTAATCCATTGTAGTCCTAATCATAACACTATCACTTCCGAAACATCTAATAATCCTTCCACTTCGAGACATAGCCCTAGTTCTTTCTCGAGCAAAGGCCTCTTCTCGCCGACCACTGATACCCGTATACAACACCTGGAAGATGTCTCTCTTCCATCTCTCCCTCAGGTGGAGGCGTTAGAACAATCATATCTGTTCAGTAATATCATTGGATCTAAGCGGACATTCGACCAGTTCGCCGTTGATTTTGATCCCCTACAGTATGTTCTCTCCTTCGGCGCAACTCTAGCTAATACTTCGTCAATATAGATGTCCCCCTACAGCCAAACTACCATCTGCCAAGTCTTCGCTTGTGATGCACACTGTACCTCAATCGTGCCCAAAAAGAAAACGACTTGACGGTCCTTCCCCCTCAGGACTTTCTCTCCTCATAGGAACCAGCAAATTTGATGGCTCCCCAGTACAACAGTCAACAAATTTACAAGTTGCATCTCCAGCTTCCTCAGCTGCATCTTCACCTTCTTCAACTTCGTCTGGGTCAGAGTCTGGCTCTCCTGCGCAATGGCCGTCACCTAGAAGCGACGAAGAGGATGCACCATCTGTCAAGAGTCAAGGCAAGGACAAGCCAACTGAAGGCCCTCTTTGTGATCAACAACAGAACAGACAACAAGAGCCCGCGGCTCATGTCGCCTCTCAGGTGACCAGGAAAGATGGCTCAGATCAAATACAAATCTCCCAAAACGAGCCGCCTTCAAATGTGGGCTTAGCCGGTCAGAAGCTACAAAAGCCATCTCAAGTACAAATCTCTATAACTCGCAAGAGGAAATGGGAGGATGTTTGTCCATCCCAGGACACGGACCTTCGTAGTCTCTCCCCGGAGATACCCAATCCTGCTCCTGTTCAGGATGTCGATAGTGCAGTTGACAGTGTGATAGCTCAATACGACAACACTGCACCGCAAGGCTTTAAGGCATCCAAAAGAGTTGACAGATGTAAACGACATTTCTTCCACAAAAAGGGTCGTGGGATATGCTCTACGACTGATTCTCCACTATCTACTCAAATACAGTCACCTGTCACAACTGTCTCAGTTCAACCACCATCTCGGCCATCAAAACGTTTCAGAATCTCGTCGAACCTAGATGCATCATAGTCAAGGATCGCGGAAATGCTCACTGGCCTAATGTATAAACGACTGTAAATGGCGCTATCCCCATACATGGATGCTACTCCTCTGAATCTATGGGATGCCGCTTCGGAGGATGCATCTGTGCAAGAATATAGGCATAATAACTGCCTTCACAATATTCGAGCCGTCTTCTATCCAGCGACCCAGTATCTACCTCTTTCTTCCTGCCTCGAGGACACTCCCTCTGGTTCAAGTAGAATGATATGACACACCTACTCGCTCCAATGGAAACATTGTAGAGCCACAGATGTGTCATTATGAGACATTCTGCTCAGTCACAGGAAGACAATTACAGTAGTACCATTCCAGGGGTCCCAATCACTGCAATTAATCCCAACATCATGGGCGCAGTCCCCTCGGCGTCTTTATAATAGGCTATTCTGAGACAGTATCAATTGATGTACCTCTCGGTGCGTATTTCGCTCGAAAAGAAACTGATCCATCCGGTCTAAACCATAGAGTAGGGATACGATAGGCCCAAAATCACATAACCTAATCCTTGTGAAAACAACTCATATCTTGGTACTATTTGTTTCGTGCCTATCTTGTTCGTTTCATAAACTTACCCCTCGCCTCTCAATCTATACTTATTACTTTCATTTACTTATTCAGTGGTCTTGCTAGTGTTCTACATCTCTCGCCTCTTGCCATTGACCCAACGCCCAATTCGTTTCGTTCCTGACTGTATTCTTCACTCACATCATCTCTTGCATGTTCCTTGCATTCACTTTTTATTACCCCAATTCATTTATAGATTCCACTACGTACGTTCGTTACCTTAGTACCTTGTACATATTGCACAGAATGTCAGAGCATCTTGTGTATGACGCAGAATGGGGCCCCAATCTATTGTGTTCACTTTCTGACCTACTAGATCGTCGCCCCCACTTCGCAAATTCCTTTTTGGCAGCACTACTCTTATGATCTCACTCATTCTACATTGGTTGATTGCTTCGATTGATTTATAGATCGTCTGGCATCTTCGCATACATCGTGTTGTTACCATGTTACCACTAGCTAGTTGTGCATATTCGAGGAGATATAATAGCCTACCGTGTGACTGAATAGTCCCCAAAAGGGGTCTTCTAACTACACCATTGACTCCCAATCCATGTCGGCAAAGTCATAATCCCATTGTGTGTTGTCGAATTCATCGTCCTCATCTTCTGACCAGCTATCTCTTCCGTTCTCTTGACGATTCGAACTGGAACGGTAGATATGTTCATGTCTCCTTCCACCAGCTCGACCTTTGCCAGTGTTCCGCTGCCCTCTTCCTTGAGTACTCGTGCTAGCTCTAGAAGAGCCGGCAGAAGAGGCTAATGATTGTGCACCGGTATTTCTTCGTGAACGTGATGTGGCACCTCTTTGTTGCAATCTAGGCGGCGTCTGGGGAGCAGCAGGAGTCGGTTCTAATTCGCGAACCACATCATCTTCATTCCAGTTACGAAGGTCCGGGTCGATGAGGCCAATGCTGCCATGCTCGCGCCGCATGTGTTCGTACACGCTCTCGTCAGCCACTTGCTCAAATGCTTTACCACAAGTCCAGCAAATGTGAACTTTGCATCGTGCACACTGCACATGAGCGCAACCCCCATCTTTAAGCAAGCCCATACTGCACTTGGGACAACTCCGGCCGCCCATGTTCCTCACCCACCCTTCTACAATTTGCTTCTCTTCTTCCTTTTCAAGCTCCATTCGCTCTTGGTGCTCGTCGCAGGTATATCCGCCGTGACCCCCCTCGTAGGAGCATGCTGGACAATACCTGGCAAGACAGCTGATGCAGACCTCTGGTAATTCGGGGGTGTCTGATTTCGGTCGGACGCGATAGATCTGAGGGCAATCACTAGTCGGACAGTATCGGTACTCTTGAGGTCGAGAGTGGAGATAGAGCTCAAAGCTGCGATTTAGTGCAGATAGAAGCTGGTCATGGTTGAGGAGACGACGGATCATCGGGAGAGGAATACGAGCATTGCACTTGCCTTCGTCACCGAAACATCGAAGGGGGAAAGAGGCTTCGGATTGAGTGGCAGATGAGAGATAGCGCGTGAGGCAAGACCTACAAGGCCGGTGTTTGCAGGGTAGCGCTTGGGGTTCTGTCACCTCATCCAAACAGATAGGGCACAGATCTCTTGGGATAGTGGTGTCCATAGGTTGTACTCGTTTGGGGGCATTGGACGCAATCCTCATCAAGAGTGTTTGTGCCCTTCGACCACTCACTGTCACCGTGCATGTTCGGGTGTCCAACCATACACTTCTTGCATCACACTCTGGTCTGAGGGATCCCTCTACAGCCATGCTATAGTACCGTAGTTGGTGTCTCGGGAAGGAATGAATGAATATGCTTCTCTTTGCATCGTCGAATTTGCGCATGACACGTCTTTTGGCCCTTGCTCTCTCCTCATCAGGACCGTACACGATGATGCGCCTTTGCCAACGTTCAACAAAGATTTGGGCTCCTGGTACCGGATTTTCGGTAAATATATGAGACCCGTAAAAACAGGCGATATCATTATCCCATAGTGGTTTTCCATCCCGCGTGACCACCTCCCCTGTAAGGACAGCATCTATCATGGACTTATACGCTGAGAGCTGCGACGCTCCAGTGATACGGATGTGTCGGTAGTTAGCATGTCCGGCAGGGATAGAAACCGAGAGCCTTAGGTGAAGGTGATAGAGCTTTACCTTCAGCTCTTCAATTTGGCTTGCCAATTGTTCGAACTT